CGGTGCGCGCGGGAGCTGTGGTCAGCCCCGCCTCTCTGCGGCGCCGACCGCTTGGCGGAGGGAGCTGGCGACTCACCTCGTGGGCGGGGGAGAGGGACCTAGTCCTGCCCCCTCTAGGCTGCTCCACGGAAAACCGTGCATTTTGTCTTCTGTCGTCACAGTTAATGCACTTATTTTAGAATTTGCATGCAAGCCAGTCTCCGTCCACACGGGACCCTCCACAGAAGCTGACCTGCGAATGAACAAACGTGAATTAACGGATAGAAATGAAGGCCTAGCGACCATCTCACCGCCACAAACAACTCAAAGGCTGTCGTGGTTCCCCGACCTCCCCTCCCCTCTGGTTCTGTCCAGACACATCGGTAAATGTGCCTGCCGCCCCGACCTCCTTGGAGGAAAAGTGTGGGGACCTGCCGTTGCCTTGGCCGCTCTCAGCGTCCCTGCCTGCCCTAGAGAACTCCCCAGGTCCCTAGAATACGGAGCCTCAGTCCCATAGTCCTTTAGCTGTGCTTTGGAGCTCAAAGTCCTTCCGATCTCAGACAAGTGATGGTGTGTGTCCTGTATATTGTCAGTCTCACCGCAGGATTCCGAGCAGCGACCGGTAATCAAACACGGTTATATTTCTGCAGTGCTGTGTGTAGAAGCCAGCTAACTGAGGTACGGAAAGACTCTCAACAGCTTCATTACAGTCAAGGCCAGGTTTTGCTGCCAAGTAAGTTACCAAAATCCTGAGGTGCTGGGGTCAGGCTTGTGCATTTAAGGGCTTCTAGACCTTATCTGGGCCCAAACATTGTTCCTTGGTTATGGGCATCTTTCTGTTCACACCATTGTTGCTTGTGTTGCAGGCAGAATCTCTGACATGTCTCTGAGTGGCAGAGCCGTTGCCTCATCTCAGCCAAGGGAATCTCAGGTCCTGCCAAACACTCCTTGCCTTCAGCTGCTCCCGTCCGGTCGTCTACAATGTGTGGTTCTTCCCACTTCTGCACTTCGACTTAGCTAAGTATTTGCATCTGAAAAATGAACTCTAGTAAATGGAGGCCTCTCAGCTCTCCCAATTTCTCTTCCTATTTCTTAAGTAACATCTCTACTGTTGTTTTTTCTTCACACCTGACCTTCAGGTGACTTTCTGCTGCACCACAGCCCCTCCGCCCTCTATATTCTGGGCAAGTGGAGCCCTCATAAGTCTTGCTGTTCTTCTGTCTTCTTCTCTTGGCTCCATGTGTCTGCCTTATCTTCTTTTTCTGGGAATGTTCCTGTTTAAAACACCTCCTACTTACCCGTTTCCTTCATCCACTTGGCTGCCAGTCCCCAGCCCGGGGAGGTCTGGGAACACTTTTCAACATTTCTGTCAACTTGGGCAGAACCTACCTTGTCTGAATCAGGCTGTGCAGGCCAAAGTCAGGTCTCTGTTCTGGAAATGTATTAGTTCAGTGTGGTGGCCAGGTTCATGCATACTGATGCAGGAAAAGCAGGGAGATCCGGACTCCATTAAAAGAAGGATATGAGGTGCACAGGGGCAGCTATGGAAGATCTTGGCAGAAGCGCTGCAGGTGGGGGAACCAGGTATCTTGGGGCTCTGAGCTGGAGCACAGGAAAGAGAGGGAGGGAGCCGAGAGTGCAGGCTGTATCCTGTAGGACCCTGTGGGTCTGGGAAGTACTGTGGGTTTTATTCCAGGTGTAACAATCTCTGAGGGGCTTTAAAGGGAGAGGATGGTGATGTTTTAAAAAGGTCTTTCTGGCTGCCACATGTGGACCATCTCCACGCCCCCTCCTTCCTACTCCAGCTTTCAACTTCCTTCTTCCTTTGGCCAGTCCCTCTCTTTTTGGTTGTCCCTCGGTTTGAGAGAGACATCCCCATAGGTATTCCTAGGACTCCTCTCTTTTAACTACCATTTGCACAAGCCTCTATACTTTTCTTGCATGTGGATAAACTTAGATCTGCTTTACTTCTTGATGCTCTCCTGGTGGTTTTAGGTGACAGACCCAGGGCGCAAACCAGAGCCTTGAATGGTCAATGTTCTCTACACTCTGAGGGCAGTCGACTGTGTTCTGAGTGCATCTAGGTCCAAGTGTGGAGGGAGGATCTTGCAGAGTCCCTCTGGAGCCCACGGTCTGGAAGGAGCCAACAGCATTAAGGACGAACTGTCTGACAAGAAGAGCAAAGCCTGCTTCAGCCTGTTTGGGCTGGTGTAACAAAATACTAGAGCGGGCAGCTTATAAACAAGACATTTATTTCTCACAGCTCTGGAGGCTGGGGGAACAGACATTTATTTCTCACAGCTCTGGAGGCTGGGGCGGGGCGGTCCACAATCAAGGCACCAGTAGATTCAGCATCTGCTGAGAGCCTGCTTCCTGGTTCACAGACTGCTGTCTTTTTGCTGTGTCTTCATGTGGTAGAAGAGGCAGAGAGCCCTCTGGGGTCTGTTAGTGCTCAAGGGCCATTCATGAGGCCCCACCCAGTCACCTCCAAAGGCCCTACCTCCTAATACCTTCACCCTGGGGGTCAGGATTTCAACATAGGAATTTTGGGGGAAGGGAAACACAGTCAATCAGACCACAGCAATTAGTAAGAAAGGATAGCTGTTTATTCAAGGTCTTCTTCAATTTGTGTCAATTAGCAGGAAATCATTTTCTTAAAACCACCAGGATTATGTCTCTGCTCTAGCCACACGGTGGCCCCATCACTGCAGAGTTAGAAAAATAGAAGCATTGCTTTTCCTGTCGTAAAGAGAAAACTTGTTTATACTGTATGGTAAGTGGAATGCAGTAAACAAATACTTCACATCTTGAGAAATTGGTTGAGTCCTTGTTGTCATTTGAACAGAGACCAAGTCAATGGCAGGGAGGTGAAGAGCTGCAGTCCCGCCCCTGGTCTGGGACGCAGGCCCTTGGGTGGGACGTCTCCAATCCTTTAGGGCTTGGCTTTGAGGGGCAGCCACAAATCTGCACAAGGTGGCTCCCAGGAGGACAAAGTCTCTGCCTTCAAGAGGAGGGTGCTCTTTTCTGCCACCCTAACCGTTTACCGAGCCTTGCTGCTCACACAGCTCCTACCACGAGAGTCTCCTGCTTATCAGGCACCGCCATCCGGGCCACAGCAAGAGGCCACAGCGACCCTACAGGCTCAAAGGGGACAGGAATACGGGCATAGGGGTTTACAACTTTGCCGACATTTTAACCAAAGGATGTTGGCAGATTCTGCTAGTCCCTCTTGTTTCAGTAAAGGCATCTGGAGCCTGCACTACTGGGCCTCTGACACTGAATGCAGAAATGGCCACCTTCCCACAGAAGGGTGGGTAGTAGGGTCCTGGGAGACGTGGGTGGGGAGGAAGTGGGACATTTTAAGGAATATTAAGAGACTATCTGATAGGTTTTGCAGATTCTTTATCACTTTGTAATTTTATTTATAAAATCTGTCAACAGGGAGAAACCTTGATGGTGGGGACAAGGCCAGCAGACTGGCCAGGGAGAACAAAGGACTGCAGGCGAGGGAGCGCTCCTGCCCTCATGGGTGCTGGCAGCTGTGCTGTCCATTCTTTAGAGGACCAGCATTTATGACTGGATCTAATCCAGGCTCAGCCCTACCCAGCACTGCAGGCAGAAAGTGGCAGGAGGCTTGAGTCACAGTGAGAAGCACAGGAGGGAGGGGCTGATGGGGCAGGAGGGACAAGGGGCCCATGATGATTTTGAAGCTTCTTCTCTGCTCCCCTTTGGGTTCCAGGGACCGACTTCAGGCAGTTTCGCTGCCCGCTCTGGCACTGAGTTTCAAAGCTCTCATTGACTTGCTCTATGCTCAATGGACAACAGGGCCAGGAAGGTTTTTACTAATCTCTCAAGATGTGAATGATTTGTTTACTGCATTCCACTTACCTCTTGAATTTCAGATGTAACTGCCCATCCTTGTGCATCCGCATGGGCAGTGAGACCAAGAGGCTGTGTGGCCTCTCAGACGTTGACTGCTGCTCAGCTGTGAGCTGCTGGGCCTGGGACGTCTGCATTCTGGCACTTTATCTTGAGTCAGGAGATTTTAAGATTTTGCCCTATTCTTGGAACTCCTGGGTCTTCCTGGAGCCTGACAAAAGGTCTCAGTGCTGTCCAGCCAACCCAGATACTTGTGGCTACAATTAAGTCATTTATTCACACTGGATCAATTGTTTAAGATCACATGGCTCCCTGATCACTCTGGTGGGAGATACAGAGAACCACATCACCCACAGTTGGCTCTCTGGACCTGATGTCCAGTTGGCCACCTGGGACTTGCCTTGGAAACATGACATCTGCACATGTGGATTACATGGGAGCTGCTTACAGCACAGCACACCTAAAATGAGCCTATTCTTCAGGCTTACCCAAGCCTGAAAGGCATGTAAGCAGGTGAGCTTCCTAGGAGGAGAGAGTCCAGGGGATTTTCTGGGGACAGGCCTGTCCAAGGGGTCTGCCAACTCAAGCTTGCAAAGGGCGAGCACGACTCAGGCGTGTGAAGGGCGAATGACATTTTACACTGGGGACCCAAAGGGCAGGCTGGGAGGTTTGACTAGAAATTTGTCAAGCTTCTTGGGAGTCAGGCTCACACTTGAAAGGCACCTGAGGGCTCAACACCAGCTTGGGCCTGGATTTTCCGTCTCTAAGCCTCTGACTTGTTTCTGGAATGTGAACCTGTCCCACCTTCCCTTGCTTTGTGGTGCTTGGCTGCAAAGTGCACTGTGATCACTGTCTGAAGGGGCACAGCTGCATGCCGTTGCCTTCCCAGGGGACACTGTGATAACAGCATTCTCCTCACCTATGAAATGTAACATTTAGTTTAAGCAAAGACCAAAGGAGTAGCAAAGAGACAAAAATGGAAAAGGCAATCTGCACTGTGGTGATAGGCAGGGAACCGGTCCGTGGTGTCAGAGGGCCCTAAGGAAATGCACAGCAGGCTGCTCTGCTGAGGGAGCCAAGTGTGACTGCCCTGGCACTCACTGCAAAGTGCCAGTCCTGAACCTGGGCACGGCTCAGCTCCTGGAGCTGTGGAGTCAGGCCTCTGCTTCCCAGTTACGCTGTTCCCAACTCCCAGGAGACTCCTTGGATGAGCTTAGACTCTTTGGGACATGGTTTGCAGCAGATAGGATGTAAGGGAAGCCTGCCCACTCTGTCCTGGGCACCCAGGCTGGCACTGAGTTGTTCTAAGAGGTGAGGGGCCAGGCTGAGGCCCCTGTGTGGTGCTATGGCAAGTGATGCCACCCTGAGTGAGGCCAGGCAGGGTTGGCACACGGCACACGGTCTCCCTAAGAAACCACCAGCGGTCAGGATAGAGGGACCAATTCCAGTGCATCCAGAAAGGCCGCAGACCCTGATGGTGACTACTGATTCGGCATCAAAGCTGTGACGTCAAAGTAGTCACGATGGCTGAGAGTGGCACCAACATACAGCCGTTGGAGAAAGCAGGCAATCACCATGTGTTCAAAGAAGAAGTGATGTTCTGTGAGTGGCTCAGCCAGCAGCTCAGAGTGTCACAGAGGGCCACTCTGTCCAGCTGGCTTCTCTTGGGCACTGTCTTCGGGAAAACCTCCAGGGCACTTACATGGCACATTTCTGTGTCCACGCTCTTGCTAGTCTGCTAGACCTGCAAGAATAAAGCAGAGGGGGTGACACCCTCACTCAAAATGGTCATTTCCTTTCATTGCAGAGTAGCAAAGAGAACTGATGCAGGGGAAATGCCGCTTCACCTCAAACACCAGGTTCAAAGGCTGCCTGGACAAGGCCACGTCATTCGTGACCCTGGATACCTAGCTTGGTGAGTCCTGATGGTTCTCCCTAACTAGTTGCTGTAGAAGATTTAATTACGCAACAGATCTCCTCCACTTCTCTGTCCTGTCCTACAACACGCATGTGTGAGGATCAGGAAGAGAATCAGAGGCCAGCTGGCAGCAGCCCCAGACCTCCCAGCACACGGACTCAGGACAAGGGCT